AAACATTTTTGAGGCAAAAGGACGACTATGCACCACAGGTAAAGTAATTCAACGTTTATTTATCAATGATTTATGTACATAGTCAGCAATATATCACTCTAGGTGAGGCAAACGGTAAATCTGGTACATTCACTATAAAACAACGGTCGGCTACACAAACAGATTGTAGGGGCCCCGTGTGCCCCAAATACGACTGAAATCTGAATTATTAACTTGAGAGGTAATTCTAAAGGCCTTTTGCAGAAATTATGGCGTGAAAAATAATATCTGCTTTAATCAATTCCTTAGTCTTCAATGTCTGTTATTGCAGCCCCCGGTTGTTTTAACAATATACGTGCTTTCTCTTCTGCAACAACAACATTCTAAAAATATGGACGATAGGGCACTAAAAGCGCAAAAACAAACCCAAAACAGAACAAAGAAACAAACCAACTAATGTATTAGAAAGCAATATTAAAAAATTATCTCATGGGAATATGTTACCTCTATCCAAATGCTTAAAGCGTTGTTACAGCGACCTTCTGAGTTGCCCCACGATGTGCTTGTGGTGTTCTCGTGACTTCCAGATATCAAGACTGTAGGCGGCTTGTAAAATGGGTTTTCAAACTTAAAATCCTGTTTTGATGCACAAAATTCAAGACTTAAAACTTTCAGCAATAGACCTGTTCATTAAAAATAGATATGTAAAGAGCTCTCTTAACCTCAGCGTGTTTGAAAAGTTTAATTAAACTAAACTCTTCATATCAACTTGGCTATGATCAACAACAGCAAACAAAAAAAAGAACAACAACAGCAGCAACTACAAATCAAAACAGAGTCATTCTAAAAACTTTCTACCTGGCAAAAAGCAAAGTGATTTTTTCGCAATGGTGCCCCATCTCCGGCAAAATGAATCTTTCCTTCTTCAGTGAAGTTCCAGTTGGAAGGTAGCGCGTCATATGCAAACCAATGCTGGTGAAACCAAATGAATATATCAGTTTTTAGAAAAGTGAAAAAAAAATTATCGATATTTGGATTCCGTCGCATACGAAGATCATTTCAATCTCAGCGGTGAAATACTGCCCAATTATCGCAAAACTTTAAAATCAGCGTACCACTTTGAGGTCCGAATGAATGCCATCAAACGCCATGAATTCTCTCATACAGACGTAAAACTCCTTTTTATTGACACCTTCCAGCCAAAGATTCATGGAGTCATACGGCCTGTCTGTGTGCTTATGCTGAACAGAAATAAACAATTGTGGCTTGTTCTTAAAACCCTGTAATTGAATGAGAGGGATATAAATTAGAGATTTAGAAACAAAAAATTCAGCTTTAAAAATCTCGTTTTCAGTCGCTGGGGCAAAAAGATGAATCTCCATAAGGATCAAATGAAAATCAAGAGACATCAGAAGTAAGTTTAGCTTTTGGAGTTCGCATTCATTTAAAGAAAACTTTTTTTTTTTGAATGCGTCAATCAAAAGTAAATCGGCAGCCAAACCGTTTTGGAATATTCTAGAGAGACATGTTAAAGTTCTAATTCAGTTGCACAGTAAACAGATTACGAATGAGACTTACATTACTTTGGTTATCAATGATCGATACTCGTTTGCACTGTGTCCTTGTAGTCCATTCGTCGAAGTCCACGATGCCAGACTTGATTCCTTGATGGGACCCTTGGAATGCGAGCCAGTTGATAACAGACATACCTGCCGAACCATTGCCTGCCTCACGAACGCAAGCCTTAAATCCTGATGTAGAGATCGATTTTACCCATAGAGCTGCTGGATCGTGGATTTTTATATGCTTGTTACCATGGCTTAGAGAAACAAAGACTTTCACGTCACCTGAGCCCTGGAACTGCGTTTTGAAGGAGATGGACTGGCAACCATGATTATTCTTGGAGGTATCAGTTATGTTGACCTTTCCTGCTTGAAAAACATCTTGTAAAAGGAATATCAGAAAAGGTTGTCAATATCAATTCCCAACATAAGACAACAAAAATGTTGAAATCTAAGTGGAGTTAGCTATTATCGATGACTTAAGGCGAATTTTACCTTAGTTTTAAGAGGACGTATGCAAGGAAAAGTGCTTCGTTCAAGCACAAATTTTGCATCTATATAGCCTTTAGCAAATTGATCTTCACACGCAAAGACTCATTAATGTTGAAAAGGTGGATTTACGGGTGACTTTGAGGCCTCAAGATGAAAGATTACGTAACTATTAACGGTAAAATGAACAATCGAGGCATAAGAATAAAGCTATTAGAATTCTCTGCCTCGACTATTTTGTAGCTGAGGAGTTAAAATCGACGAAATTTGCACAGGTCTGTTCTTCTCCAGAGCCGCTTCACGCCCATTGGGCGTTGTTCCAGATTTGTAACTTTGCCAAGTCTTTTTGCATTCGACCACCTTGTAAACCAGCTCGAAAAATTGAAAATTGAGAGTTGGATGAAAAGAAGATATAGGAAAATGTTACTATATTCTTTTATCTACTCTACACCTTAACCCGTGAAATTAAACAAAAGCATAGTCAACAAACTTAACAACGAGACTGAAGTTTATCTAAATGATGTAGAAATATCAAATCAAACCAGCTGCAGAATTGATGAGACACTTACCGCTTGAAAGACACAGCTGGCCAGAAATCACCAGGAAAGCAAAAAGCCCGAAAAACTTCTTTAAGGTCATTCTGTGGCAGCACGTATGAGTTGCAACCTAGCTGAAAGCTCCTCTGATCCCAAGCTTTCAGAACGGAATGCGAACAGAAATAGTCGGAACATGCTTAAATGATGCTGACAGTTACCTGATATATCTGCTAGAAACGAGGCTAAACGTAAATTGGACAAAGCTGCTCTTTTGAGGGATTACCAAAAATTAATTAATAAGGTTGGATAAACAACGCGCAATGGTCACCTCCTCACCCTTTTTGTGGACAGGATTTTTTCTCTAACGGAGATCAGAGAAAGTTTTTGTTTTTGTTTTTTTTTTAAATAATATTTCAATGTTAGCTACCTTTTTGTTCTTTCCTCTATTTTTTTTTTTTTTTTGCTTAGTTTTGTTTCTCTCTTGCATAAGAACGCTGACACTTTCTAATTGCGTGAGGTGTGTTATGCTTGTTGGATTATCCTGTTATTAAAAAAAAGAACTGAACTCTTGGAAAAGGATTATAAGCCACCCGACTTTAGGTGTGATCGTCGTCTGCAATTTCTCGGAACTATTCCATTAGAAAAAGGATTACTGTGGAACATGTTAACACTGATGGCGCAAAACTCCTGAAGGGAACTCAAGGTAAAAGGGTAGCCATAATGGGCCGTATTAAGAACTGCTTGCTTCTTGCTGCATAGCATTGTGTTGAAAAAACGATAAAAAGATGTCTTTATGGGCCTGTTTTTCTTCTTTAAAGGAGAATCAAGAAGGAATTTAAGTCATTTGTTAGCTTCTGTGTCTGTTGTTTTCCCTCTTTTTTTGTTTGTTTTTTTTTTTGCTTAGTTATGTTTCTCTTTCGCATTACAGCGCTGATTCTTTCTAATTGTATAACATGTGCTACGCTTTTTGGATCATCCTGTTCTCAGATAACTCCAAAAATGGGTTATTTGCCACGCGTTCATAAAGTGCGATTGTTGTTTGTAACTTCTCGAAATCGTGCCATCAGAAACAGGATTATCACAAATCATGCTAAGACTGGTGACACAAAGCTGCCGAAGGGAGCTGGAGATAAAATGGTAACTAAGATGGGCCGTATCAAACACTGCTTGTTTTGTTGCTGCAAAATCTTAAAAGACCAACAAAATCCTTCTTTTGTGGACATGTTCTTCTACTTTAATGGGGAACGTTGATTTTTTAAAAATTTTTTAGCTTCTATGCCTGTTTTTTCTTCTTTTTTTCCTTAGTTTTTTTTTTTCCATCTCACAATAGGACGCTGATACTTTGATATGATAATGCATTGCGTGCGCCATGCTTGTTGGATAATCTTGTTATCAATATAATTCCGAATTCTCAGAAAAAGTGCTTGTTATTTGTCATACGTTTGATGAAAGAGCGCGATTGTTGTCTGTGACTTTTTGAAATCTTGCCTTTAAAAACAGGAAAATTCTAGAACATTGTGAGACTGGTTACACACTGCAGATGAGAGGTATAGACGCTACCAAATTGGACTTTATTAAACATGAGCTCGCTTATAGACTCGAGCTCCCATCAGCAGTCATGCGTCACCATTCTTGGCACGTTCTTCAATAATCCTGTTTCTAGTGACACAATTTTGAAAATTTACAGACGAAAATTACGTTCTATAGCCGCGTGGCAAATAACCCTTTTCCAAGAATTCAGGATTATTCTGAGAACAAGATAATCCAACAAAAACGTTGCACGCTATGTAATTAAAATTATTGGCCCACTGATGCGAGAGAAATACAAAGCTAAGCAAAAAAAAAAAATAAAAAAAAAATAGAAGTAGTATCTAACAAACGACATAAAATCCTTCTTCGATCTCCTTTAGAGAAGAAAAACATGTCCACAAAGGAATGTTGTAGTGGGTGTTTCACTGCATTGCCATGCATGATCACGAGTAACTCCGAATTCTTGGAATAGAGCTATAATTTGCCATGTGTTTATAAAGCGCGATTGTTGTCTGTAACTTCTGGAAAACGTGCTACTAGAAACAGAATTGACTAGCACGTGCTACTAGAAACAGGGTTGACTAGCATGTATGGTGCATCAGTTCCCTTCTAGTCTTCCCCACTGCCTTGTTATGTAAACCAATTTGTTTTTATTGTGTGTTCTTTTGTTTTTTTTTTTTTTCCCATGCAATTGCAGCGAAATGGAATAAATTAAATTAAATTAAATTAGGATTATAATGGAACATGCTAGGACAGGTGACACAACGCTACTGAAGGGAGCTTGAGGTAAAGGGGTAACAAAAATGGGTTGTATTCCTTGCTTCTTGCGACACAGCAATATGCTGAAAGACCAACAAAATACTTCTTTTGTGGGCATCTTTTTCTTCTTTGCCAAAGATGGGAGATTGAGTTTTCAAATTATTCCTAGCTACTATGTGTGTTGCTTTCTTCTTTTCTTATTTTTCCTTAGTTTTGTTTTTCTGTCTCAAACTAAAACGCTGATACTTTGATAGTGCATAGCATGTGACGTGCTAGTTGGATTATCGAATTCTTGGAAAAGGGCCTGTTATTTGCCACGCGGTTACTTTAATTAAAAAGCACGATTGTTGTCTGTAACTTTTTGACATCTTGCCATCAGAAACAGGGCAATTGCAGAACATTGAAAGACTGGTGACACCACACTGCAGAAGAGAGGTTAATAGGCTACCAATATGGGCTTTATCAAAAATTCTTTTGCTTTTCGTTGCATGACAATGTGGTGAAAGATCCGCTACAATATTCCTTTGAGAACATGTTTTTCTTCTCTGAAAGAGATCGAAGAAGGATTTTAAGTTATCTTTTAGTTAACACCTCTGTTGTTTACTCCTTCATTGCTAATGCTCCGCATTGTATTTCTCTCGCATTAGTTCGCTGATACATTTTAATTTCATAGCGTGCACCGTGTTTGTTGGATTATCCTATTCTCAGAATAATCCCCAATTCTTGGAAAGGTTATTTGCCACGCGGCTATAGAGAGTGATTGTTGTTTGTACTTTTTTGAAATTATCCCATTAGAGACAGGATTATCGAATAACATGCGAAAACTGGTGATGCATCATTGCTGATGAGAGCTCGTGGTAAAAGGTAACCAAAATGGGCCGTGTTGAAAATTGAATAAAGGGGGTAAGATTCTTAAGAAACTGGGGTGCTGCGTCGATGGGGATGACAAGATAATTTTGTTTCACCAATTAAGTTGATATGTAAATTGGCTGACGTTTCGAGCTTTAACTCTTCGTCAGAGCTGTGACGAAAGGCGAACGTCAGCTTTTAAACTCTAGTATAGTGGCCGATTTACGTAACGAAACAAAATTAACGTATTGAAAACTATTTGTTTCTTGCTTCATGGCAATTAGCTGAAAGAGCAAAAAAACATTCCTTGTGGGCTGTTTTTCTTTCTGAAGGAGATTCAAGAAGAATATTAAGTAACTATTTAGCTTTTGCTTTTGTTTTCCTCCTTTTCAGTTTTTCGTTAGGGATCCGCGCTCAGATCGGGGAGTTGATTTTGGGGGATCACAAGGTTTTCCGGGGAAACACACGGGAAAACTCATGGCCTGCGCCGTACCTTTTAAATTAATTTGTTATCAAAATAACTCCGAATTCTCGGAAAAGTTATCAATAAAAAGGTTAAAAAGTGCGATCGTTGTCTGCAAATTTTTGAAATAATGCCATAAAAAAACGGGGTGATTGTAGAACATTTTAAGACTGGTTATGTAACACTGGTGAAGAAAGGTTGAGAAGTAGCCAAACTGTGCCGAATTGAAAACCGCCTTCGAAGGAATGAGTAAGAAGAACAACAAAAGGAGGGCAATTTTCTACTGTATGATCTGGCTTATATCAAAGACAGTCAATGCAAGCCAATTCCCTATGCCAAACTTAACTATTTGAGCCCAGTCCTTTTCTTGGCTGCAACACATCCTAATAAACTATCGTCGACATGAGAGAAGGCCATCGGTTGTCACAGGGCTTATTTTATTGTCACGGAGTAATCGAGTAGCTAAAACGAGGTTAAAAAGCACGATTGTGGTCTGTAAATATTTGAAGTAATTCCATAAGAAACAAGTGATTGTAGAACATGTTCCGACTAGTTTGTAACATTGTTGAAGGGAGATTAAGGGGTAGCCAAAATGCGCGGAATGAAAACTGTCTGTGTAGGAGTGAGTTAAGAGAACAACAAAAGGAAGGCATACCGCGTGCAGTGCATTAACAGCGATAAGAGTTCCATATTCTATTATTTAGATATAAAAAAAAGATGAAGGAACATAAATGGAGCTACCATGAGTGGCAAAAGTCTTGGCACACTCCACTATTACAAGAGAGGATGAAATCCTCTCTGACTTCTACTACTACAAGTATATTTTCTCTAACTTTCAGTTATCCTCTCTTCCCTTAGTGTTAACATAATGGTCGCTTATTTCTTAAAACATTGTGTGGGGAAAAATAGAGGAGTTTCGAGTAGCCGATCAGCGATGAAGTAAAAGATTTCTGTTCGCTATGTTGAGTGGAGGGTTGTCGACCACATATTAAGGACCTTAAGCAAACCAGGCAATGAGAATGTGGCAAAACAAGAAATCAAATTGGCACTGAGCAACAGCTCAGCTCGTGCATTACAAAACTTTGTGTACTTCTTGGCCCTCCCCGCCCTAACAACGACGTGAAATCACCAGAATTTACGTTGTCCGAGAACGGAAACCCCGACGGCCGATCATTTAGGTTTAAATTTGGAACTCAGTGGTGCTCACATACGTGATGCAGAGGTTGAGGTGTGGCGCCGAAAGAGACCGGTAGTAAACACATCCAGCCATTCGTCAAACCCTTACTATCAATTTCAATTCATTTTTTAATTAATCGACATTTTCTTCGCCATTGTCGTCCTGACTGCTTAAATTCCCTACTAAGAAAAGACGTACCACTACATTTGTCATTCATTGTGCTAGTTCCTTTGCCTTTGTGGAGGTCAGGGGTCTGTTATCCGGTTTTGGCTCTGTAAATAATTTTCTTTATCTATCACGATTCTCGAAAGGTGCAATAAATGGACAAAGTTCTAAATTTATCTTAAGATTTTAGCGTTCTTTGAACGATAATTTGGAATCGGACAAAATTTTAACTTTCGTTTTGATAAAGGAGA